GGTCTGGGGACCCAGAATAGAGCGTGAAAGTGCCATGTGCATGGCGCCTTGGAATGTGCAGAGTTAACTTCACAGGAACTTGTGTCCCTGAGTTCCGAGCACATCCGGGCACACAGGAAGCATGCGGTGCGTGGTCAAGGAATGAAGACGTGAATTGAAAGTTGTTTTTTTTCATGGAAACAGTCTCCTGGTGTTCCAGTGGCCAACACAGCAGAAGTAAAGGGAGAAACATACAGGAGGAACAAGGGTTCTGTCCCTTTACTTACCCCATGACTTTGGGCAGGTTACTCAATGTAGGACAATGTATGTCTGTTCTCCAAAGAGATGACTGGAGTGGTCAAACGTAGGTTTACAGTTGTGTTGTGAATACACAAAACACAGGGTTTATTCTTGTCTCATTATCTATTTATTTATTTATGTTTAAATGTCTCTTTGTGGTTGAAAGTATTACAGATGTCCCCTTTTGTATCATCATTTATTTATGTGTAACGAAGGACAGCAATGTGAGCACTTACCAGAATGTGCCTACATGCCCTGTGCCATTGTGGCATTCTTTTGAGCTAATAAAGTTCCTGTAATCATCAGACCCCGTGTGTCCTTTTTCATTCGGACAACTGTAAAGATGGAAGGACATGTATGAAAAGATGTCCATGGTCACTAATCATCAGAAAAAATGCAAATTAAAATCACAATGAGATTCCATCTCACATGTGTCAGAATGGCTTTCATCACTACATCAACAGACAAGGGTCAGCGAGGATGTGGAGGAAAGGGAGCCCTTGTTGGTGAGAATGCCAATAGGTGGGGCCCCTGTGGAAAACAGCATGGAGGTCCCTCTAACAGTTCAAAATAGAGCTACCTTACCACCCAGCCATTCCACGTCTGGGTATGTACCTGAAGTAATCCAAAACACACATTCCAAAATACTCATGCATCCCCATGTTCACTGCAGAACTAATGACAATAGCCACATATGGAATCGATAGACAAGTGGATAAAGAACATCGGTGCAGCAAGGGCCGGTTTGGCTCAGTGGATAGAGCGGCGGTCTGCAGACTGGAGGGTCCCGGGTTCGATTCTGGTCAGGGCATGTGCATTGGTTGCGGGCACGTCCCCGGTGGGGGGGTGTGCAGGGGTGGGGGGTGGTTGGTCGATATGTCTCTCTCATCGATGTTTCTGGCTCTCTGTCCCTCTCCCTTTCTCTCTGTGAAATACAAAAATAGACTTGTACATAGATAAAAGAACAAACTGATGCTGCCAGATGGGAGGGAGTTTCGGAACTGGGTGAAAAAGGTGAAGGGATTAAGAAGCAAAAATTAGTGCCCTGGCTGGTTTGGCTCAGTGGGTAGAGTGTCAGCCCGCGGACCAAAGGGCCCAGGAATTGATTCCAATCAAAGGCACCTGTCTTGGTTGCAGGCTCCCCCTCCTACCTCAGGCCTGGCCCAGGCCCTAGTCAGGGCTTGTGCTGGAGGCCACCAATTGACGTGTTTCTCTCACATCAGTGTTTCTCTCTGTCTTTCCCTCTCTCTTCGCCTCTCCCTAAAAATCAATGGAAAAATATCCTTGGGCGAGGATTAACAACAACAAAAAAGGAAGTGCAAATTAGCAGTGAAATGTCATCATGGAGCCGAAACCAATTTTGCTCAATGAATAGAGCGTCGGCTTGGGGACTGAAGGGACCCGGGTTTGATTCCGGTCAAGGGTATGTACCTTGGTTGCGGGAATATCCCTAGTAGGGGGTGTGCTAGAGGCAGCTGATCAATGACTCTCTCTCATTGATGTTTCTAACTCTCTCTCTCCTTTCCTCTCTATACAAAATCAATCAATCAATCAATAAATAAATAAATCATCATGGAGTGCGGATGTAAAGAACAGCATAGGGAATATAGTCAATAATATTTTAATAACTACATATGATGCCAGATAGGTGCTATATTTATTAGGGGGGGCCATTTTGCAAGTTATATAAATGCCTAACCACTATGCTGTACACCTGAAACAAATATTGAATGTCAACTGTAACTGAAAATTAAAAACGAAATTTAAAAACAATTTGTGTCTAAATTGTCCCATCTATATATTGGAAATAAGAATATTATTTCATATATTATAAAAATTACACAAGTTAGCCCTAACCGGCTTGGCTCAGTGGATAGTGTCAGCCTGAGGACTAAAAGGTCCCAGGTTCGATTCTGATCAAGGGCATGTACCTTGGTTGTGGGCACATCCGCAGTAGAAGGTGTGCAGGAGGCAGATAGATTGATGTTTCTAACGCTCTATCCCTCTCCCTTCCTCTCTATAAAAAAAAATCAATAAAATATTTTTTAAAAAATTGAACAAGTTAATCTATGTAGAGTACTTAGTGTTTGACTCATAATAAACTTTATGTAAGCGGTTTATTATTTTTGGTGGCTTACTGTTATTGTTGCCTATTTTTCAACTTCCCTTTTAGTGAGCTAGCTTTTTCCGTCTTCCTATACACACTGTTCCTGCTTCTGGGTCTGTACCCAAAAGAATTGAAAGCAGGAACTCAAACAGATATCTGCACACCCACCTTCATGAGAGTGTGGAGTCAGAACCACTAAAAGGCGGGAACAGCCCAATGTCCATCGAGGGATGAACGGACCGGGAGAAGCGTCCTCTCCCCGCAACGCCATGGCATGTCACGGTCCCTGCAGGAAGGCCCTGCCGCGTGGCTGAGCCTGCAGCCAGAGACGCAGACACAAAGCACAGCCACCAGGTGACGCCCCTGTACAGGTACTCAGATTCCTGGGGCGCGAAGAGGAATGCTGGCTGCCAGGCCTGGGGCGGGAGGGAGGAGGGGGTTTAGTTAGTGGGACAGGGTTTCAGTTTGGGGAGAGGGAAAGCTTTGCAGACAGACAGCAGTGATGGTCGTACAGCAATGGGAATGCATTAATGCAAGCGAACTGGCCTCCAAAAATAGGGAAATGATAAGTTTTTGTTGTGCACATTTTATAACAATTCTTTAAACACACACACACACACACCCCTCGGAGAAATACTTTGTAAAGTATGCGATTGCCTACCCACTGTGCTGTACACCCGACAAAACAAAATAACATTGAAGGTAAACTGTGATTGAAAAAACCTTGTTAATGAACAAAAATGAACCCTGAAACCTAAAAACAGAGCGCGTGTTCTCTCTCCTTCCCCGGGAGCCGAGGACGCGGCCGGCCAGAAGGGGGCGCTGGTCCTCCCAGCGCAGCAGCAGCAGCAGCGGCAGCAGCAAGGCCCAACCTGAACTCCCTTAACAGCAGGCCCCGGGGTGGCCTCTCTGGCCTCCGGCCCCTTCCTCGGGTCAGGGCGGCGTCCCTGCATCCCATGCCGCGGCCTGGAACACTGTCCTTCCAGAAGCTTACTCCAGTTCCCCGGCGGGCAGAGCCCACAGCGTCCCGATGGCATTCCATCCAGTGTGTTCCGTGGCTGCACGGCGGGCCCAGCGCCGCCCAGAAATAACGGGAATGAACAGCCCAGGCGCAGCCCCCTCCCGCCCGGCAGGCCCGCCCGCGGCCGGCGCGCCGGGCAGACGCGGCACCGGCCCTTTCATGAGGGGTCGCCTGGCAGGGGCTCCCAGAGGCTCCAGAAAAGTCCGTGCGGCCCCCCAGGCCCCCACATCCCAATGGCCAGGAAAAGCTCCCGGGGGGCGGTGTCCGGATCCTTCCTCAGGCTCAGTGAGCCCCACAGGAAGCTGGGCGCCTCCTCCCGGGAGGAGAGGAAGTCTTCCCAGGAGGCTGGTTTTTCCAATTCCTACTTTAGTGTTCCGTTAATTCCTCTACGGAGCGTTTTTCTTTCTTTAAACATTTTCTACTGGGTTTAGAGAGAAAGGGGAGAGAAAAAACAACGATCTGTTGTTCCACTTATTTATGCAGCCTTTGGTTGATTATATATATATATATATATATATATATATATATATATATATATATATATATATATTTTTTTTTTTTTTTTTTTTTTTTTTTTTTTACGGAGAGGGAGTTAGAAATATCGATGAGAGAGAAACACCAATCAGCTGCCTCCTGCACCCCCACCCCCTACTGGGGATGTGCCCCAAACCAAGGTATGTGCCCTTGACTGGAATCAAACCCGGGACCCTCTATGCACTGAGCCAAACCGATTAGGGCCTTTGGTTGATTCTTATATGTGCTAGGAGATGGAACCCTCAACCTACGCGTATTGGGACAACATTCTAACCTGCTGAGCTACCTGGCCAGGGACAAAACTTTTCTTAAAATGCCTGATGAGACATATCTGTGGGGGTGAAAGAATGAAGGTAAGACTAAAACAATTTCCCACTTTGATCTTGTGGGCTGCTGATGTGGGGAAATTTTAAAAAGAACATTTTCTAGTTATAAGAGGGAAAGGGAGGAAGAAAGGGGGGAGGAGGGAGAATATCAGAAGGAAGAGGGGGAGGGAGGAAGGGGAGGAAAGGATAGGAGGAAGGAAGGAAGGCAGGCCACACTTCTTGGTGGAGCTATTAAACCATTTTTGTCTCAACTCACTTTCCTCCTTGGCTCCTAAACATGGTTGCCCGTCTCCACAGACAGACTGTATGGCTCAGCCCCAAGCCACTTGGGTCCTTTGTCTTGTGGCTGACAAATGCCTCCACCCTCAGGCTTGGGCTCCAGTGCCCCACAGCTGCCTGTTCAGAGGGCTGGGTCCACCCACTGTCCTGGCCAGACCTCCAGGCAGGAACTACATCTAACTCCTCGGGGTATCATCACAGACCAGACTGCTTCTTACAATAGCGGGACACGCTAAAACTTGGAAGGAAGAGGCCAGAGTCATCCGGCGGGTTTATTGAGGTTGAGCTGTCTGCCCACAATCCACATGGTCTCCGGCACAGGCTGGTGCCCCCTCCCTGACCACGAGGCCCATCACCAAAGGAGAGCAGGTTAACACCGTTATTCTGCAGTGGAGTTAGGCGTTAAGCTGCGGCCACGCGTGGTGCGCGCGGTGTGGCTCCTGGCGGGTCCCGATCAGGCTCTCTGGAACGTCTGCTTGCACACTTGGCCCTCGCAGAACATTTCCTGGGTCGGGAGGAAGGAAGAGGAGGGAGATGACTTGGCACGGGGCCCGTTATTACTCACAAGGATCCGACCCCAAACGTGCGCTGTCTTTGCCAACCCCCTTCTCCAACTCTCACGCCAACTCAGTTCTGACAACTGACAACCCAGTGTTAGGGCAGAGCCCCGGGTGCAGGGCTCGCTGCCCCCACGTCCCAGGCCCCCCGTACTTCTGGCCAACCAGTTACAACTGGGGTTCCGTGACTCCCTCCTCAAGTTCAATAATTTGCTAGAAGGCCCGGCCTGGCCGTTCAGTGGTTGAGCATCGACCTGTGAACCAGGAGGTCACGGTCGATTCCTGGTCAGGGCACAGGCCCAGGTTGCGAGCTGCCTAGTGTGGGGTTTGGGGGACTTCTCAATCTCAATCTCTTCATTTGTAAATGGGGAGGGCACAGTGAGTTGATAGGATTGCTGGCCACGGTTTCCCTGTTTGACATTTTCTTCAACGTTACATCATGTCACTAAAAATAAGAGTGATGTGGCAAGCCCTGGCTGGTTTGGCTCAGTGGATAGAGCGTCAGCCTGCGGACTGAGGGGTCCCAGGATCGATTCCGGTCAAGGGCATGTACCTTGGTTGCGGGCACATCCCCAGGAAGAGGTGTGCAGGAGGCAGCTGATTGATGTTTCTAACTCTCTCTCTCTCTTTCTCTCTATAAAAAAAATCAATAAAGTATATTTAAAAAATAAAATAAAATCAATAACATAATTTTTTTTTTTAAAAATGAGAGGAATACGAGCAAGTACCAGGTGGAGCGTGTCGCCTTCGATCCAGTGGGTCCAGCCTCTGTCCTTCTTTTCCCCCTTCTGGATGCAGGTGAGCCTGTCATTGTCCCAGGTGACCAAGCTCTGCGTGACGGAGGGAGAAAACACTGGTTTGTTCTGGAAGGATCTGGACTACGACTCAGCGGGAGGCCAGTTACCCCGGCAGAAGGAAGGGCCTGTGTGTGGGACTGTACCTTGCACTTCCTGTTGTCCAGGCCTTTGGTGTCTTCATCAAATTCCTCCCCGACTTTGAACTGCACCAGGTAGTTCCGCAGGCTGCTGTACGTGTGGATGGTGAAGGAATCCCCATCCTGCTCAATCACCTTCTGCGGCTTCAGCAGCTTGGCGATCTTCCGCGTGGCAAAGTCGATACCTGGAAAACCACGTGAAAGAGACATCGCAGCTTTCACCGGAGATGCAATGGCAAAGAACTTGGCGGCTGTCCTCAGAACCCTGGCATCGGAAGGCGAGTGTTTCTTTGCAATGTCGATGCCAGGGCTGCTGAGACCGGTCTGCAGGGGGAGCCTGGCAAAGCCAATCCAGAGGCTGACTGAAAAGCTTCAGCAGGTTTCCGGGCAGATGCCTTAGGCTGGCGGGGTGCCTCAGGGGCGGATGGGAAGCGGGAAACAGCAGAAGCAGGTCTGCATAAGGCAGGCACCCCTCAGCTGCGGGTTTTATCGCCTGTGTCAGGGGGACAAAGGGACAAGGAAGCCATCCAACCTCAATGACAGCAACTCTGCTGTTTCCTGCTTTATGTATTTACACTTCAAACTAAGAACTTGAACAGTTTCTGAACAACTACAAAACAAACAAACAAACAAACAAACAAACAAAAAACAAAAAGCCCTAGCCGGTTTGGATCAGTGGATAGAGCGTTGGCCTGCAGACAAGGGTCCCAGGTTCCATTCTGGTCAAGGGCATGTACCTTGGTTGTAGGCACATCCCTAGTCAGAAGTGTGCAGGAGGCAGCTGATCGATGTTTCTCTCTCATTGATGTTTCTAACTATCCCTCTCTCTTCCACTCTGTAAAAAAATCAATGAAATATGTTAAAACAACAACAATACACACAATACTTCAAAAACCACTGCAATCACGCACAATTCTAGTCACTTAGGAGTCTTGAATAAGCTTTAAAAAAGGGTCACACATGGCCGAAACCGGTTTGGCTCAGCGGTAGAGTGTCGGTCTGCGGACTGAAAGGTCCCAGGTTCGATCCAGTCAAGGGCATGTACATTGGTTGCGGGCACATCCCCGGTAGGGGGTGTGGAAGAGGCAGCTGGTCGATGTTTCTCTCTCATCGACGTTTCTAGCTCTCTATCTCTCTCCCTTCCTCTCTGTAAGAAAAATCAATAAAATATATTAAAAAAAAAAAAAAAAAGAAAGAAAAAAGAGCCTGTGAAAGTCAGGGTTTTGGTATAAAAAGTGGATTTGAATGCAGTTTCTCACTTATTAGCTTTGAGCACGTGGTGTGGCTGGAGATTGTAAATGCTTGCTCCCTATTCTTCAGGAATCTACAACCAAGAATGAAGGGGAAATAGAGTAATCGAAATCCCCCTTTAAGAGGATCTGCTTCAATCAAAGGAAAACCGAAAACAACCTTCCAGAACCTAAAAGCCCTTCGATTATTTGAGTTCTGTGCCGTAAACCCCTCTCTATGTCACATGCTAATTTTACAAAGATTCTGAATAAAAGACATCGACTAATCCACCGAGCACTTTGTTCATTTAAATATTTAACTGGGACAAAGACCTCAAGCTCTGCTTCTGGCCAAAAGGGACAGATCACCTGGTTGTATTGTCTTCCATCCAATGAACAAGATAAGGGCTTGCTGGTGTTTATTACAGGAGCCATCTTTATGCACTTGAAATAGAAGCTTCTGTGTTAGAAACACATGTTTAGTTCACTGTGCAAAGTCATGAGACATGGCTCAGATAGGAGAGAATGCTAACTCCCAAAACGAGCTTAATTCAAACAACTGAACTTAAAAGGCGCTCTCACGTGCTCTGGCTGGTGTGGCTGGGCTGGTTGGAGCGCCACCCCATGCGCCAAAAGGTGGCGGGTTCGATCCCCGGTCAACGCACGTGCAGGAGGCAACCAATTGATGTTTCTCTCTCTCCCCTTTCTTTTCTCTAGGATCAATCAATACTTTTTTTCAAAAAAAAGGACCTTTCGTTTTTAAAAAATGAAATATAGGATTTATTGTAGGTTTTCTTGTCCCAGTATCCTTGTGATTCTTTTTTTATTTTTGGTATTTTTTTTAATTGTGGTCAAATACACAAATTTTACCCATTTAAAAGCATGCAAGTCAGTGGCATTGAATAATCATAATGTTATGCAGCCAACAACGTTATTTCTTTTTTTTTTTAAAATGTATTTTATTGACTTTTTTTTACAGAGAGGAAGGGAGAGGGATAGAGAGTTAGAAACATCGATGAGAGAGAAACATCGATCAGCTGCCTCCTGCACACCCCCTACTGGGGATGTGCCCGCAACCAAGGTACATGCCCTTGACCGGAATCGAACCTGGACCTTTCAGTCCACAGACCAATGCTCTATCCACCGAGCCAAACCTGTTTTGGCAACATTATTTCTTTCCAGGAATTTTTCATCACCCAAACAGAAACTCTGTATCAGGTGGGGTTCAGGACACTCCACCTCAAAACCTGGCACGTTGGCAGAGTGAGTATTCTCAGCCGTGAGTATTCTCAGCCTGTGCCTGAGGAAGGCAGGTGCAGGCAGGCCCCTCTGACTTCCCCTGAGGCAGGTGATAAAACCCTCAGTGATATAAACCTCTCTGTTATAAGGTGCCCTCCTTATAGCAGAGAGAGAAGCAGCCGCCGCTTCATCAGCGAGGGACGCAGAGAGGAATCCCAAAAACACTTGCTAAGCTTCCAAGCTTGTCTGTTACTTTTTAATTCTACAATTTCTATTTGTTTCCTCTTCAACCCCGCAGGTGTTACTTTTTATAGAGTCTGATTTCCTGCCAAAATTAAGCTCAGCATAAGTGCTTTATATTCTATTTCTGATCATTCCAGTACCCGGAGATCGGTTTGTACACACAGACCCAGGGTGAGGTCCTGAGACTGGAAATCTGCTTTTGTAAGCAGAGGAAAGGAGAGACCAAAAATAAATAAATAAATAAATAAATAAATAAATAAATAAATAAATGGCTGGCCCCTGCAGACTGGTAATTCACAGGGTTCATTAGGGGAATATCCGGGACATGTGTTGGATGATTACAAGATGAAATGGACCCCCTTACTGCTTGGCAGGTGCCAAAGAATTCTACAGGCAAAGTAGGGGACAGTCCCAGGTAATAGCACGTAAATGCTACCGAGTTCGGGAAATTACGTTACAACCACCTGTGCCAGGGACCAGCACTGGCAGGAGGCCAGGGAAGGGGCCAGTTCATTCCGAATGAACATCAGTGACCATCAGACAGTCGCTAAGGGGTTTGCAGAAAGTCACCTCTTTCTGGCGGGGTCCAGCTTGCAGGACACTCGCTGTCACGTCATGGAGCGGTCTCTCTCCCACACGCCCCCTCCCATCTGCACCAGGACGGACGGACGTTAGGGACATGACTCTAGCCGCTTATCAGCCTGGCACCAGAAGAATAAATGTGACTAACTAGCCCTTATTGTCCCATATATTTACTTTCTTGTTGTTTGCCACCCTGGAAACTCAAAGTCTTTTTGTCTGGTCTCTTCTCTGCGGAAGCATTACTTGTTGTTAAGAAGCTATGCAGCCAAAACCGGTGTGGCTCAGTAGATAGAACGTCAGCCTTCAGACTGAGGGGTCCCAGGTTCAATTCCGGTCAAGGGCAGGTATCTTAGTTGCCGACACATCCCCAGTTGGGAGCTTGCAGGAGGCAGCTGATCGATGTTCTCTCTCATTGATGTTTCTAGATCTCTATCTTTCTCCCTTCCGCTCTGTAAAAAATCAATAAAATATATGTGTTTTTGTTTTTTTAAAAGAAGCTATGTAATCTCAGGCTCTAACCACTGCTTTGAGATCCTCACTGCTGCAGGCCGGGTGTGTCTGTCCTTTCCGAGTCTAATTTACAAGCCCTGCAATGCACCAGGTGGGCAGAGGAAAATACATCTTTTTCATCTGCACGAGGATTTGTGGTAATATAAATCAGATTTCCCTCGCAAAGTCCCAAACTCCCCTGCTTAGTGTGAGAAAGGACTTAGTGCGAGGGAGGAGAATCTTAAAACACACCGGGGCACAGAACTGTACATTGCAAAGTGGTTACATAGGTATTTTGCCACAATAAAAAAAAAAATGGACTCCCAGCTCATTTTTCCGGTGGGGAAACTGAGGCCTGGTCTCTGATAAAAGGAGGCGAGCCAGAGCAGCCGAGCCCCAGATTCTCAGCAGCTTTGGTCCATTTCGTCAAAAGCACGGGGCACACAGTAGGTGCTCAGAAGCCCGAACCTGAGGAAGGAGACCGATGGCCGGACAGACCGGGTGGGAGAGGAAGGCAGGCCTCCCGCCCTGAGCATCCTCCAGCCCCTCAGGAGCAAGGACAGAGGTCAGACTCCGCAGTCCGCACACCCTGCCCTGGTCCCTTCTCCAAGCCTCAGACCAGGCTCCCCAGGACCCTCCTCCTGGAATTTCATCCGGAGGCGGGGTGGGGGGAGAAGCGCCCCCCTCGGGCCCGGTTTCTTGACCCCCGCAGTTCCCACAGGCCCGAAGCCCTCAGTCCTCAGTCCTTGAGGGAGGAGCGGAGGCCAGAAACCAAAGATGTCAAACTTGGTTCCGAATCCAGTGGCACCGGAACCTCCTGGGGCGGGTCCCGATGCTGCGGAACTGGACCTCCCTGGGCGCCCGGAGACGCTGCGGGACGAGGCTCCTGGAGACGCTGCGGGTTGGGGGACCCCCCCCCCCCGGAGACGCTGCGGGACGGGGACCCCCCCCAGACGCTGCGGGACGGGGACCTCCCGGAGACGCTGCGGGACGGGGACCCCCCCCAGACGCTGCGGGACGGGGACCCCCCCCCAGACGCTGCGGGAGGGGACCCCCCGGAGACGCTGCGGGACGGGGTCCCCTTGGAGACGCTGCGGGACGGGGCCCCGGGCGCCCCGGGTTAAGGGTGCCGCCGGCTGCCCGGAGCCCCCGTTAAAGGCCGCTGCGGGGCGAGGGCCACCGGGCAGGGGCTTCTATTGGGGCGCCCCTCGCGGCCCGAACCCCATCGTGTCCCCCAGTCTGCCTACGAGGTGCCCCCGCCCCGCCCCCCGCCCGGTGAGAACCCCGCGCTGGGCCCGAGGACGGACGGTCGGATGGTCGGACGGACGGGTGCGGAGACAGGGGGCCCGGAAGACGGAAGGATGGCGCAGGACTACCACCGGGTGGACCGACGGACGGAGGACGGAGGACGCGGGACGGGAGCCGGGAGGACGGGAGCGGGTGGACCGGGAGGAGAGACTGGGGGACGGAAGGACGGACAGCCCCGCCTGCACCCGCCCCCCGCGCCCCCTGCCCCCCGCCTACCCAGGGCGCCCCCCCCGCGCCCCCTGCCCCCCGCCTACCCAGGGCGCCCCCCCCGCGCCCCCTGCCCCCCGCCTACCCAGGGCGCCCCCCCCGCGCCCCCTGCCCCCCGCCTACCCAGGGCGCCCCCCCGGCGCCCCCTGCCCCCCGCCTACCCAGGGCCAGCATGTAGCCCTCGAAGTTGTCGCTGCTGCTCAGGTTCCAGGTGCCGCTGAGGTCGGCGGGCATGGCGGGCGCGGGCCGGGACTGCTGCGGCGGTAGCGGCGGGGCGGCGGCCTATGAGCCGGGCTGGGGGGGGGGGGTCCGCGGGAGATGGATGGGGGCGGGGCGCCCGGACACCCTCCCTCCCCCCCTCCCTCCCTCCCGCCTCCGAGACGCCGGCCTCCGGCTCCGCCTTCTGCCCGGGCTCCCCGCTCCGCTCCCCCAAACGTGCGCGGGGCCGGGCTGCCGTCCAGGCCGGGAGGTCACGTCCACGCTGACCCCGGGAGCTCTGCACTCGCATCCCCGGCCACACCACTGAGCGGTCACTGTGTCACTGTCACAGAGTCCCCTCCCGGCCGTTACTCACTGTCCCCATCGGACGGGACAGAGAGGCAGCCTGGCCAGGGGCACACCGTGGCGGGAGAGGCTGGATGCGAACCCGGCGGCCGGACTCCCCAGCCGCCCGGCGGCTCTCTGGCTGCCTCGGTGATGTCTCCACCGGCTGTCCTCAACGCCTGGCCTGACACACCTGAGACAGGGAGCACACGACACGGCTCCAGCGCCCCTCTCAGTCCAGTGCACCCCAGACTCCCTTCTCTGCGCCCGGTTCCCAGCCCATCAGCAGGATCTGCTGGTTCCACATCCCAGCCTGGGCCGCCCTCAGACCTTCCCTCCTCCTGGCCTGGCTCTTTCCTCTCTGATCCCGTTAACCCGTTCTCCAGATGGCAGCCAGGCATGCTTGTGAGAAATGCAACTAAGACATATATATTTTTTTAAAATTTCCTTTTATTCATTTTTTTATAGAGAGGAAGGGAGAGAGAGATAGAGCTAGAAACATCCATGAGAGAGAACATCAACCAGCTGCCTCTTGCACACCTCCTACTGGGGATGTGCCAGCAACCAAGGTACATGCCCTTGACCAGATCACAACTTCTCGATCACAACTTCTAAGCACAGGGTATTTCATTTTCCCTTCTCCCTTATAACAGGGACCAGAAGACCCAAACATGCCCTCCGGCAGTCTGCTCCCAAGTCTGCCCGGGGAATGAGGGTGTCAGTTATTATCTGCCTCCCGAGGTGATGACTGAAAACAACAAAAAGCCACTCGTTTGCTCGCAGACCTGCCGTTTGGCGGACCTCACAGAGGGCGGCTCATCTCAGCTCCATGAGGCATCAGCTGGGTCCTGTGACTCCGGTTTGGAAAAGTCACCTCCCAAATGGCTCAGTTTCTCTCTTGGCTGGAAGCTCAGCAAGACCTGTGGGCTGGGGGCAGGTTCCTCCTCACAGGGCCTCACCATGGGCGCCGGGCAGTGTGGGTGCCTTCCCAGCGGGCCAGGCTGGCTGGCTGGGTTCTCAGAGGGTATATCCCAGGAGGGCCGGGAAGACGCTGCCCATCTCTTCTGAGCTGGTCTCGGAAGTCATGCACCATCTTCCGCCCACCTGGGCCCACAGGGAGGGACCACGGACCGCACCTCCCAGCATCACACTGTCAGAGCACGTGCAACGGGAGATCTTAGAATGGCCTCCTTCAAAATAATGTCACGCACCAAACAGACTGTCACATTACAGTGGGAAGGCTGGGGAGTGCTGGGGAGGGAAGGAGATAGATCAACCAAAGAACTTGTATGCATGCATATAAGCACACCAATGGGCACAAGACACTGGGGAGGAGGGGATGAGGGCATGCGACAGGGGGTAGGGGAGGCTGGGGGAAGGTCAGTGGGGGAAAAAAGGAGATACATATTCTAATATATGTAATACTTTAACAATAAAAAAAATAAAAACTTTGGACAATAAAAAAAAACAACCCTAAACTAAAAAAATAAAAGTAATCTGTCATGGGAACCCATCCCCCTTCTGACCCTCACCCTAGGTTATGACTTCTAACCTAGACTTGGTCAGTAATTAAAGTGCCTGTAGATGCTCCATGTCTTGCTTTTTGTTCATCTTATTTTCCAGTTGGTTAGAACATGGACAGAGAAAGCCTTGGATCTCTTCAAAAGTTTCTAAGCGTCACCTTTTCAGAACACCCTTTGATATCACTTCTCATATACATTGAGTCTGCCTCACATCTCTGCTTACTACCTTCTAATCAGCACAATCCACAATTCTCTCTTTTTGGTTTGTTTGTTGACTGCTTTTTTATTTTTTAAATCTATTGAAACGTTTTAGAGAGAAATGAAGGGAGAGAGGGAGAGAGAAACATTGATTTGCTGTTCTACGTATTTAGTAGGCATTCATTGGCTGATTCTTTTTTTTGTATATAATTCTTTTTTTAAAATTTCTTTACATCCTTTTTTTAAAATATATTTTATTGATTTTTTTTTGCCCCTCTCCCTTCCATACATACTCTCCCTCCCCAGAGTTTTATGTCCATTGGTTGTATTTATATGCATGTATACAAGTCCTTCGGTTGATCTATTATCTCCCCCAAATCTTCCTCCCCTCCCCTCTGTAATTTGACAGTCTGCTTGTTGCTTTACTGTTTCTATATCTATCTTTTGGTTCATCAATTTATAAGGTTCTTTATTATCCATAAATGAGTGAGGTCATGTGGTGTTTCTCTTTCATTGATTGGCTTATTTCACTCAGCATGATATTCTCCAATTCCATCCAGGTTGCTGCAAATGATGAGAATTCCTTCTTTTTTATGGCAGCATAGTATTCCATTGTGTAAATGTACCATAGTTTTTGGATCCAATCATCTGTTGACGGGCACCTAGATTGTTTCCAAATTCTGGCTATTGTAGATTGTGCTGCTATGAACATAGGGGTGCATATATCCTTTTTGATTGGTGTTTCTAGTTTCTTGGGATATATTCCTAGGAGTGGGATTACTGGGTCAAATGGGAGTTCCATTTTCAGTTTTTTGAGGAAACTCCACACTGTTCTCCACAGTGGTTGCACCAGTCTGCATTCCCACCAGCAGTGCACGAGGGTTCCTTTTTCTCCACAACCTCGCCAACACTTGTCATTTGTTGATTTGTTGATGTTGGCCATTCTGACAGATGTGAGATGGTACCGCATTGTTGTTTTGATTTGCATCTCTCGGATAATTAGTGACTTTGAGCATGTTTTCATGTACCTTTTGGCTTTCCTTCTGTCTTCTTTTGAAAATATTCTATTTAGGTCCATTGCCCATTTTTTAATTGGATCATTCATCTTCCTTTTATTTAGTTGCATAAGCTGTCTGTAGATGTTGGAGATTAAACCTTTATCAGTGGTAACATTTGCAAATATGTTCTCCCACATAGTGGGCTTTCTTGTTATTTTGTTGATGGTTTCTTTTGCTGTAAAAAAGCTTTTTATTTTGATATAGTCCCATTTGTTTATTTTCTCTTTAGCTTCCATTGCCCTAGGGGCAGTATCAGTGAAGAAGTTCTTTTGGCATATGTCTGAGATTTTGCTGCCTGTGGATGCTTCTAGTATTTTTATGGTTTCCCGTCTGATAGTTAAGTCCTGTATCCATTTTGAGTTTATTTTTGTGTGTGGTGTAAGTCATTGGTTGATTCTTGTACGTGCCCTGACAGGGGATAGAACCTGCAGCCTTGGTGCATCGGGACGATTCTTTAACCAATGGAGTTACCCAGTCAGGCCCATTGACGACCTTTTTCATTATAATTTCAAGGGCAGCCTAAACTGGTTTGGCTCAGTGGATAGAGCATCGGCCTGCGGACTGAAGGGTCCTAGGTTCGATTCCGGTCAAGGGCACGTACCTTGGTTGCGGGCACATCCCCAGGAGGGGGTGTGCAGGAGGCAGCTGATCAATGTTTCTCTCTCATCGATGTTTCAACCTCTCTATCCCGCTTCCTTCCTCTCTGTAAAAAAATCAACAAAATATATTTAAAATAATAATAATAAATAATTTCAAGGGCAGAGACCATGCTCAGCTCACTCATCAGCACAGTGTTTAGCAAGTAGTGTTTGTTGAATGAATGGCTACCACCTTTTCTAAAGGAGAAGGGCCGTTTTTGTTGAGAAAACAGTGGCATTGCCTTGCCTCTCCCAGAATGAGGCTGTTGATTCTCGTAACTATAGCTTCTTTGGTGGAATGTGACAGGCTGTTTTCAAACCCTGGAATTACCTGTACCTTGCCATTTAATGGGCACAGAACTATGAACTCTGACTAGATTTCTGGAGCATGAAGCCTGCTTAAATTCCAGATGGACAGGAATTGGAAAAACCATACTTACTTCCTATCCTTAAAATCTTATTGTTCTAAATCTTGGCCTGAAAAGGAAGGTCACAGAAGTAAGTAATAATGACTTTAGCATCTGTGCTGGTAGGTATGGCTTTTGGCCAGCCTGGGCAAGGGCCATCTAGTAGGGACAGGGTTGAATTTTGGTTGAAGTGGCATAAATTGGACTTGCCCAGGGGATAAGAAGTGATTTTCTCCTTTTTATTTTATTTTTAAAATTGATTTTAGAGAAGAGGGGAGGGGGATAGAGAGATAGAAATATCAATGATGAGAGAGAGTCACTGATCGCCTGCCTCCTACATGCCCCACACTGGGGCTTGAGCCTGCAACCCAGGCATGTACCTGGACTGGGAATCCAACTGTGACCTCCTGGTTCATAGGTCAATGCTCAACCTCTAAGACACATGGGCCAGGCAATTTTTCTCATTTATAATTCTAAAACCTTTCTTCTAGACAAGGATAAAATTGTCTCTGGAAGGAAAGAGGAGAGAAAATGTGACTAAATTTGAGCCTTTTTCTTCCCTTCCATTTGATACTGGCAAAGTAAACCATAAAATTATAGCCAAGACCAGGTCCTAAACTCGGGTACAAACGCTGCTCCTCCTGGTTGGAATGGATGGGAGCTGATGAGGGCGCTTGGAGAACCGGTCTCTGTCACTTGATGGAGCCTGACCCGGGCCCAGCAAAGAACAGAGTGGACACTGAGGTGAGCCTCACACCATCCACGCCTCCCCTCCCCAGGGCAGGGAAGCGGTGCCGGCAGGGGGCGAGGCCCTTTCTGGGGGGTAATTCCTGGACTGGTTTAAGGCTGAGCCAGTCACAGAAATCT